GGGCTGAGCGGGAATGGGCGGCTCAGGCCCCAAAGGGGCCGCCCGTGGCGGGCACTGGGTCAACAGTGCCCACAGCGTTGCTCTGGCTGCTGCCGCAGGTCCCCGCCCCGCTCTGCCCCCGCTCTGCCCCCCAGGTGGCCGGAAGCCGGATGGGCTCTCCACCCTGTCTAACCCTGTCTCCCCGTCCGCAGGCTCTGCCTCTCCCAGCGCGGCCGGTGCTCAGGCCGCCGTGCCATCGGGACATTTCACCCCCACACGCCTCCCCCTCCGCACCACTCACCCAGAAACGCGACACAAAGAGTCCCCAGGACCCGGCTAAGCCCGAGGAATGTAAATGTTTAAGGCCCGCCTGCATGCTCTGCAGACTAAACTACCGTCTAAGAGCTCTGTCAGCTAGGGCGTGTGTGTGTGTGTGTGTGTGTGTGTGTGAGTGTGTGTGTGAGTGTGTGTGAGTGTGTGTGAGTGTGTGTGTATGTGTGTGAGTGTGTGTGTGTGAGTGTGTGTGAGTGTAAGTGTGTGTATGCGTGTATGTGTGTGGTGTGTGTGTAAGTGTGTGAATGTGTGTGTCTGTGTGAGTGTGTGTGTATGTGTGCACGTGTGTGTTTGAGTGTGAGTGTGTGTATGTATGTGTGTACGCATGCATATGTGAGTGTATATGTATGTATGTGTGCACGCGTGCGTTTATGTGTTTGAGTGTGTGTGAATGTGTGTGTATGAGTGTAACTGTGTGTATGTGTGTGAGTGTGTGTGTATAAGTGTAACTGTGTGTGTGAGTATGTATGTGTGAATGTGTGTGAATGTGTGAGTGTGTGTGTTGTATGTGTGTGAATGTGTATGAGTGTAACTCTGTGTGTGTGTGTGAGTATGTATGTGTGAATGTGTGTGTGTGTATGTGTGTGAATTGTGTGTATGAGTGTAACTGTGTGTGTGTGTGTGTGCAGGGGGACAGGAGGGGGGAAGGGGAGGCTCCGAGGAAAACAGGCCGTTTCCAGTCCTGCCATTACACCGCCACCTGTTCCAGCCGCCGCCATTGCCGGGGCCTGAGAGCGTGGCGGACGCAGGAATCCGGAGACGGGACCAGCCGAGGAGCAGCAGGATGCCGGTCTGAAAAGGGGGACGGTCTCCCCGGAGCCTGGGGAGACCCCTCCGGTCACACACCAGCCTTTCCTCTGATTCCGCCCACGAACACCGGCCTGGAAAACACCAGTGACGACCTGACAAGCCCCCACGCGGAAGCAAGAGACCGAGCCCGCCTCCGGGCGCCTCCAGAGAGAGGTCCTGGTCAGCCAGAGGGGCAGCCCCTCGGGAGCTGCGGTCAGACCCCAAACCGGACCAAGTGATCCCGTCCCACTGTGTGCCAGGCCCCGTCCCAGGCTCGGGGCTGCCGGGCAAGGCCGGTGGCGCCCTGCCTTTGTGGAGGCGGTTAACAGACGGCCGTGAAAGCTGAGCTGCCTGGATGAAGGAGCCAACTCTTCCATGTCCTCAAGAGGCTGGCACTCATCCATCCATCCATCCATCCAGCGAGTGCCCACGGAGCCCAGGTGTCCCAGCCACTGCACCCGGTGTGATAGCCCAGGCCTCTCCCTGCAGGACGCTGCAGCGACTCCTAGTGCCCCCCCAGGACGTCCAGGAACACCCCCCCATCTCCCTCGGTGACGTGGGTAACCCATTTCTCCTCTCCGCTGCCCGAAGCCCTCGCCAAAGGGAACAGGAGGGCGCACCTCCCCCGGGGACAAGGGATGACGAGAAGCCCCCGCTTACACACAGCGCGCCCCAGAGCGCCGTGACGAACAGGCTCTCCAGGACTCCCCATCAAAAGGCGGGCAGGGGCACCCACACCTGCACACACTGAGGTAGGCCGGGGAGGGAAGGCAAGAGGAGGGTGAAGCCATCTGGTGGGGAGGGATGGAGGAGGTACTGCAGGTGGAAGATACCTCCCCACCCCACCCTGCCCACCCCAGGGCAATGCTGGCACAGGCGGGAGCTCAGGAATACTTGTAGGAGCTTCTGCTACGAACACTGAAGAGAAACCTAAGGAAGGGGGCGGGGTGTGGGGGGCAGTGCCCAGAAACAGTGAAAAGCAGACACCCACCGGACACGGGGAGCCCCTGGCAGGGACCCCAGCCCCGGGCTGAGCAGGAAGTCCGGCTGCCACCCCTGGATCCGTGCATTCCATGGGCGTGAGCGTGTGAATCCCCGTCCTCCCTCCTGAGGGGTGCTCTGCCTCTGACCCAGGGCCAGGGAGACAGGTGCTGGGGGCCCGGGGCCAGGCCCAGCCAGGGCCACCAGGTGTGGGCTGGACGCCCGCAGACAGGAAAGGCGGAAGCAGCTTCCCACCCCAGGACCAGGGCTGTGGACGCGGGAGCTCACTCCGAGGGGCTGGCCCGTCTCTAACCACCAGGCTGGACAGTGCTCCAAGGGGTGGCCCTACCACCACCACCACCCCCTCCCCCCGCTCAAACCACACCAGCCACACCTGGCACTTCCATCCCCCGCCACACCCACCCAATTCCCCTCCGCCCCATGGCCCCGCTCCCCACGCCCGGCGGACACCTGGGCCAGGCCTCCTCCCGCCCATCACCAGCCCCTTCACCGGCCCGGCCCCAGCCCCGGCCCCGAAATGTCCCCGCTGCCTCCGCAGCCCAGCTTCAGGGGGAGCAGCAGCGGTCCCTGCCTGCAACATGGGTCTTAGGCCCACTTTTAAATTATCTTTAATTTTTACTGGTTTCAGAGAGGAAGGAAGAGGAGAGGGAGAGAGAGAAACATCCATGATGAGAGAGAATCACTGCTCGGCTGCCTCCTGCACGCCCCCCACGGGGGATCCAGCCTGCAAGCCGGGCCTGTGCCCTGACCAGGAACGGAAGCCGGCCTCCTGGTTCCTAGGCCAGAGCTCAGCCTCTGAGCCACGCCGGCCGGGCTCATGCCGCTTTCACAGATGTGGAAACTGAGGCTCAAGAAGGCCAAGTAATTGTCCGGGAACCAGGTCGAGCCAGAATCAAAACTCACGCTCCTCCCGGGTGCTGGGCCCTGAGCTGGGGGCGGGGCCGTGGGGACAAAGAAGAACACGGAGAAGGCCTGGCGGGCCTCGGCGAAGGATGCTCCCCGGGTTCTGTCTCCCCCCCCCCCGCAGCCTGGGGATGCGGGCCTCAGGCAGCGCTGCCCCGCCCGCGAGAGCAGAGGCCGCGGCTGAGGGCCGCAGCGGAGACGGCACAGGCCACAGGCCGGAGGGACAGGTGGGGTGGCAGCCGGGCACGAGGGTGTCCCAGCCAAGGAGCCAGGGGTGCGTCCTGGGTCTCCCAGGTCCACCGTCACCCCGCCCGCTGTGGACCGGACCCCCCCCCCCCCCATCAGACCACAGGAAACGCCGTCTGCCCGGCTGGAGCTTCCCAGAAGGAACGCCACGTTCCCCCAACCTCCCCCCAACCTGCCCGGAAAGGGAGCGCGGCCAGCTGTTTCCTGCGGCCCCACCTGGCTGGTCCCGGAGCCCCGGCTCCCCGGCTCCCCGGCTCCCCCGCTCTCCGGCGGCCCCCATTCCCCAGCTACCCCCCCCCCCCCCCCACGTTCCCCGGCTCCCCGAGGGCCGAGAGCACCCGGCCGCGCACCGGGCCGGCCAGGCCCCGGGAAGTCCCGGAGCAGCGGAGCAGTGACGGGGGCCTCCCAGGTCCTCGCGGGTCCCGTTTCCGGCCGGGGCGCCTGCGGGCCGCCGGAGCAGGACAAGCCCGGCACTCAGAGGCTCGTGCAGGCAGGTGGGACGGGGAAGGTAAAGAATGAAAGTGCCACCAAGGAGATGAGCAGCTGCAGGACTGAAAAAAAGAAAAAATCGGTTCCCACGCCTCAGGAAATCAGTGGCGTACAGTTTGAAACTCTTCCCCTACCTGGTGGCCTGAAACTCACTCTCTCTCTCTCTCTCTCACACACACACACTCACACTTCTCCCAGATCTCCCAGACACCTAAACTGGAAACCCCGGACGGAGGCATGCCGCGTTTCACAATGACCTTCATTCCGTGCTCGCTACGTGCCAGGCACCCTCGCAGCCCCTGGCGACTCTGCATGCCCACATGCCCTTCGGCCAGCGACAGATCCCTTCCCTTCCTCCTCCCCCTCTAGTCCTTACACACCCCAATGCCACCTCCTCCAGGAAGTCCTCCTGGATTCACCTGCTGAGCGTGCACCCTCATGCTCATCAAAAGCCTCCAGACCTTTCCGATCGCCTCTCCGTGCTCCAGCTTTGGGGCAGGCGCTGCCTGAGATGGTTTTGTTTGAGGGTTAACGGCAGGTTCGCCCTCTTCCCTTCCAGAAAGCTCGGAAGCAAACGCTCTGAGGCCAGGAGTAAGGACTGGAAACTCCACGGCAGTTCCCTCCTCAGCGCAGGGAGGACGGTGAAAGGGGAGGCCCCACCGCCCCGCAGGCCTAGGCTCCCCGTGATGGGAAGGGCTGCCCCAGACAGCTCGCCCCACATCGGCCCCTTCCATCCACAAGGTGCTCTCGCCACCCCCCTTTCCCAGAGGGGGACCCGAGGCCCAGGCCACAGGAGGAGGAAGGAAGGACCAGGGCCACCCTCCGGCCACCTCCATCTGCCTCCCCAGCTCCGGCCCACACCCCTCGCCTAAATACAGCCTCTGGGCGGCCTCCCGCAGAGAGGAAGCATCCGCCAGAGGCGGCACACACGGCCTGTCTGCTGTGCTCCGAAGGGGGGCAGGGGCCCTGAGATCCCCATGCTCTCCCAGAGGAGTTGGGGTTCCCCCTGAGCCCCCACATCCAGAGGCCTGGCACCACAGAGGCCCCAGGACCCTGCCCAAACCCAGCTCCAAAGTCTGCTCTGCGTGGCCAGTGCCCACCCAGACCAGCGTGCTGACATGACCTGGGAAGACACACGTGTGTGCACACATACCCACAGCCCTTCGCTGTCCCCTGGGGACTGCCTCTCCCGCCCCACCCCATCCCCCACCCCCGCCGGAGAAGGCAAGGTGCCTGGTGCACCCCCATCTCCAACTCACCTGCAGCAGGCCACGCAGCGAGTGTGGCTGGCTGGAAGGGTGAGCCCAGGCCCCTGGTCCCCGGCTCCCGCCCCGGCCCGGCCCTGCCCGGCGGCCAGGAGGCTGCCAGGGGAAGAGCCGGGCGCCGTCCCCCCGCAGGACCCGGCGGCGGAGCGCGCACCGCCCTGACCTCCTGCTCCGGCCCCGCTTGCCAATGACTAAGCGATTTCCACCCCGGAGGGCGCCCGCCTGCCAAGAGCCTCTGGCTGCAGCGGCCGCCCGGGTGCCCGGGCCGCACACACCAGAACCCGTAATTGGCGGCCCTGCGCTTGGGAGAGAAAACCCCCTCCACGCTGTGTTTTGTTTTGCTTTCCCCTGAAGTGAAACAAATCCGCCCACGGAGTTACTGGAAACTTGAGCATGTGAAACCCAGCCGTTTGCACAGAGAGTGCAGTCAGCAGCCGGGGGAGCCCCGGAGCGGCCCCCCGGGGGGCGGGGCCGCCGTGCCCTGGAGGTTCCCATGCGCCCCAGGGGGGCCTGGGGTGCCCCCGACCTCCACCCCGAACGGCACGGCCTGCCCCGGGCAGGGGCCCGAAGGCGGAGGGATGGCAGGTCCGCCTGCACGGGTCCAGGGTGCATGGCCCGAGGGCCCGGTCCCGGCGTGCAATGGCCGAAAAGCCTCAGCTCAGGAATCGGACCCTCGTCTGAGTGAACCCATGCCGTCCGGGGAGCGGGACCCCTCGGGGTCTCGGTTTCCTCACCGGGAAGATGGGGCACCAGAACCTGCAGGGGCCTTGTCGGGGTCCCCAGAGACAGCCCTGGGGCTGACTCCGGAGGGAGGGGAGGCGGGGGGTCCCTGTCTGGGGGCTCTGTGCCCGGGATAGGCTGAGTTAGAGCCCAGCCCTCCGCTCTCCCCAGGACACAGCAGGCGACGGGGGATGTAGCCTGGGCAGGCGCCCACGGGTACGGGTCTAGTCCCAGCGCCCTGAGCCCCAGGGCTCCATGACCTTGCCCTCCTCGTCTGTACATGGAGGGTCCAGGGAGTTTATTCTGTGTTGCTTCTTTCATTTAAAAAAAATATATATTTTATTGATTTTTTTTTTTTTTACAGAGAGGAAGGGAGAGGAATAGAGTCAGAAATATCGACAAGAGAGAAACATGGACCAGCTGCCTCCTGCACACCCCTCACCGGGGAAGTGGCCGCAGCCAAGGTATGTGGCCTTGACCGGAATCGAACCTGGGACCCTTCAGTCCGCAGGCCGGCGCTCTAACCACTGAGCCACACCGGTTTTGGCTGTGTTGTTTCTTTTAAAACAAACAAACAAACAAACCACCACTAAGTTACGTGCCAACATTTCTTTTAAAAACTGGGTTCCTGGCTCCTTTTAGCACAATCAGAAGCGGGCACTGCCTGTGCCCCGGACGCCACTCCTGAGGGTCAGCGAGCCGCCCTCTGCCGGACACGGAACTCCGCTTTGCCACAGTCCACCCCCGCCCCTATCGCCTCCCCGCTGCTCGCCCGCACCTCCTCCCGGGCCCCTGGGGCCCCTGAGTGCGCGACCCAGTTTGAAACCCTAATTTCACTCAGAAGCGTGGCCTGAACCACTTTCCACCCGAATCGCTCAGGAAGCACCCCCGGGCGGGGACTGAGGTCTGACGGTTCGGCCGATGTTTCTGGCAGAAAAACAAGACGCCCCCGCCCGGTCCGGCCGAGGGAAGCCCTCACTTTCTGAAGTCCTCCGAGGTTCTCGCACAGAGCAGGGCAGGTGCCGAGCCGCCCTCCCGCCCCGCCCCGCCCCGCCCTCTCCTCCGGCTCAGTGTCCCCCTCCGGACACACAGGAGGTGGCTGGGGGTCCGGGACAGCTGCTCACAGGCGGGGAGCCCCCGGCTGCTTTGCGTATTGGGGGGCCAAGGGAGGCAGGGTCAAGAGGAACCAGCTGGTCTACTCAGAGCCCAGCAGGGACTGAAGTGTCAGGTGGTCGTTTGAGGGCATTTTCAAGCTGTCGTGGTCACTCCCGAAGGGGAAAGCATGAGACTCAGGGCCTCCAGCCTCTCGCCTCTGCAGGGACTGAGTTCAATCCCCTCCACGGAGCACTGCTGGGGGCCGGCCACCGAGAACGGCAGGGGCACACCCCATGGCACCCGGCACCCCCCAGTGACACCCGGCACACCCCCATGGCACCCGGCACCCCTGCCCCCGTGGCACCCGGCACCCCCCATGGAACCTGGCACCCCCTCCCCCGTGGCACCCGGCACCCCCCATGGAACCTGGCACCCCCTCCCCCCATGGCATCCAGCACACACACCCCCGTGGCACCCGGCACCCCCCATGGAACCTGGCACCCCCTCCCCCCATGGCATCTAGCACACACACCCCCGTGGCACCCGGCACCCCCCATGGCACCTGGCATCCCCTCCCCCCATGGCATCTAGCACACACACCCCCGTGGCACCCGGCACCCCCATGGAACCTGGCACCGCCTCCCCCGTGGCACCCAGCACATTCCCCTTAGCACTTGGCAGCCCCCCAACCCGTGGCACCCAGCACCCCCCACCCTTTAGCACCCGGCACACCCCCCTTAGCACCTGGCACACACCCCATGGCACGCGGCACCTCCCTCCCCCCATGGCACCCAGCACATTCCCCTTAGCACCCGGCAGCCCCCCCACCAGTGTGCACCCAACACCCCCCCCCATGGTACTCAGCACCCCCGCCCCTTAGCACCCGGCACACCCCCTTAGCACCTGGCACACACCCCATGGCACGCGGCACCTCCCTCCCCCCATGGCACCCAGCACCCCCCCCCCCCGTGGTACCTGGCACACCCAATCACAGAACTGTGGCCTTTTGACCCATCCCGTCCCCACCACATGGCGAGCCTCCCGGCGCCCAGCGGCCGGGGGGGGGGGGTGCCTGAGCACACCCCGGGTCTGCGTCCAGCCTCCCTCCGTGGCTGTGTGATCCCCACCAGCGATCTGACTTGTGTGCTTCCGTTTGCCCACCTTTACAGTGGGCATGAGAAGCCCCCCTGAGCAGAGCTCCTGGCAGCGTCAGTGAGGTAAAGAGCAGTGCCCGGCGCATGGCAGGCGCCCACGGAATCTCAGTGCGCCGGCTCCGCCCGGAGGGCCCGGCGGCCTCGGGCCTCCGCCCGGCCGGGGACCATGGGCAGCGCCGTCACCCCCGCTGCCCGCACTGCCCGCACCGCCACTCCATGTGACGGCGTGCGAGTGGTCCCGCCTCAAGGAACCAGCTCGGGGGCTGCTCCCCAGAAACCCCCTGGCTGCACCCGCCCACAGGGCCACCGGCACCTCGGGGTCCCCGGGGCTGCACCCGGCCCGGGCCCCGCCCGCCCGGCGGCTTCAGTCCTAGGAGAAATGGTTCTGGCGGCGCCAGGGCTGCCCAGCTATACAGGGTGGGCATGTACGACGGGAGCATGTGAACGGCGACGCCAGAACGGAATCCTACATCGGCGCCTGGTGTGTGCACGCGCAGTCCCCACAAGTCGTCAGTCATCCCACTGTGCCCCACCCAGGAAGTGGGTGCTGCCCGCCGGTCCGTTCAGGGAAACGGTTACAGCAGGACAAGCACCGAGTCATCGGGAGAGTCCCCTGTCTCGGTGCCTCCTGACCCTCCCCCGGCCTCGGGAGAGAAACCCAGCCCCCGTTTCTACCCGATCCCCACGTCCGTTTCCCGCTGGGCCTGACCTGTGGCCCGGCTGCCGCCGAGAATTCCCCAGGCGGCTCCAAACCCAGGGAGGTCGCAGCCCAGACCCCAAACCCGGTGGATAAAGCCACCCTGGGTGCTGTCAGGTCCTGAGGCAGTGTGTCTTCCCACCCTGGGGCGGGCAGGGGGCAGGGGGCAGGGGAGGGGAGGGGAGGCGGCACCCACAGGCAGCTTCTCCCAGAGCCAGGCCAGCTGAGGAGGGCTGGCACCTGGGAGCTCGGTGCCCCTCGTCAGGACATGGTTTTAAACCCCCAAAGCTGCCAGCCCGTGTGGCTCAGTGGTGGAGCATTGACCTATGAACCAGGAGCTCACGGTCTGATTCCGGGTCCAGGGCATGTGCCCGGGCTGCGGGCTGGATCCCCAGTGGGGGGTGTGCAGGGGGCAGCCGATCCATGATTCTCTCTCGTCATGGATGTTTCTCTCTCTCCCCCTCTCCCCTCCTCTCTGGAATCCATACAAATATTTTAAACAAACAAACTAAAACCAGGAGCCCGAGAGGTCCAGCTGCCCCTTCCTGGGCCGTGGGTGCCATCCGAGCCCCGTCTTCCGAAGGGAGGCCGCCCTGGGCATGGGGAGGCGTGACGGCTCCCATCCTACCCTGGGCTCCCGAGGGGCTCAGAATTTTCCACGAAAAAAAAAAAAATGCAGCAGAGCAAACCTCGGCGGTGAGACACCCACGGGGCGGGGGGAGCCGGCGTGGCCCGGGCCCTCAGACCCGGCCTCCGGGCCGGGCTGTCTGGGCGGCTCAGCCAGGCACGGCGACAGGCAGACAGAGCGGGCATTCACGGAGGACTGGCTGGCCGGGGGGAATTAAAAAACCCTCTCCCCCGAGCCGTCTAGACACCCCTGAGTGTGACTCCACAGGGAGGGCCACGGGCTGGCCGGGCCCGGAGGGCAGGCCGGGCAAAGGGGGCCATTCGCACAAATGGGATCAAAATCGGCCCCCGGGCCACAGCGGGGGGAGGGGGAGCTGCCCTTTGAACATCACCTTCCTCCGGAGACAGCACGTTCTGTGGAGGGGACCCTGGCCTTGCACGGAACCTGACGTAATCAGACCACGTTTCTCCCCCACCTGACCCTGAGGACGGCTTTCCGAGCTTCACACCGAGGGCACCTTCCTCAGTGGGCTTCTTCTTCTTCTTCTTTTTTTTTTTTTTTTAATATATTTTACTGATTTTTTGTACAGAGAGGAAGAGAGAGAGACAGAGAGTTAGAAACATCGATGAGAGAGTGTCATCGATCAGCTGCCTCTTGCACACCCCCTACTGGGGATATGCCAGCAACCAAGGTACATGCCCTTGACCGGAATCGAACCCGGGACCCTTCAGTCCCCAAGCCGACGCTTTATCCATTGAGCCAAACCGGTCTCGGCGTCAGTGGGCTTCTTACAGTCTCCACACTGAGAGGCAGACCCTGTCCCGGTCTCTCCTCCCCTCCCACCTTCAGGGTAAGCAGGCAGCGAGGCTCTGACCCCCAGGCCCTCCTGTCCCACCCAGGGGTCCCTCCCTCGGAAATCCACGGAGGGGCCCTCAAGAACTGGCCTTGCACCCTAACGGGTTTGGCTCAGTGGTAGAGCGTTGGCCTGCGGACTCAAGGGTCCCAGGTTCCATTCGGGCCAAGGGCATGGACCTTGGTTGCGGGCACATCCCCAGTAGGGAGTGTGCAAGAGGCAGCTGGTCGATGTTTCTCTCTCATTGATGTTTCTAACTCTCTCCCCCTCTCCCTTGCTCTCTGTAAAAAATCATAAAATATATATTTCTTTTTAAAAGACTGGCCTTGCACAAAACCCTCCGTACCCTGAACCCCGTGTTTCACCTCGGGGTTGCTTGGGGCTCTGGGGTCCACCTCAGAGGCAGACCCACCCGCACGGCCGTTTCCTGCCTGGCCCCCCGAAGTGGCTGCGGGACCATCACGGACCCTCCCCAGCACC